ATGATTTATTTTTCTTTTACAAAATATATATTAAAAAGCAAAAAACAAAAACAAAGCATGCCATCAAAAATGTATGTACATATATAGTAGGCTGTAAGGTCTACCTCCAGGTGAGATCTCAGATTTATGGCATAAGGCTAGAGGGCCTTCTCACGAACAGTTCTCCGTATTTCGAACCTTTCTTTAGGCCAACATCAAAATTTTTAAAAATTCAAAATTTTGGTTTTTCCCTTTTAGATTAAGCTAAGTAAGTGAAAAATTTATATTATATGATACAGAAAATTAATGGATATTTTTCTTATATTTGGGTGAAAAAAAAATTGTTTTTTGAATATGTAGAAAATAGAAATTTAAAATGTGTAATCCTTGCTGCGGACCTTTTGAGGTAAGTCATGGTTCCATATACATAGTTGGGATGGCCCCGATAACCCGGCTCTCTGCTTCCACTCTGTAGCCCAGGGGCTGTCGCAGTCGCGAGCTACGCTGCAGCATCTTGTACACTTCGTGTGATTGCGTGAAGCGAAATGGCCTGCAGGACAAATGTCCGAGAGCTGCGTGCCAAGGGCGTCCACCTTGCATGTGCTTCCCATTCCCCACCTGTGGACCGGCGTCGTTCCCATTACGATTTGCTAACATGACAATGGGGGTCAATAATAAGCGCATGAGATGTGCAGCCACAGCGGCAACTTGCGCAGGAGGCGGTGGACTGCCACGTGCCTGCGGCGGCTGTTCAGGTCAGTTGCCCTCTACAAAGATCTCTTCCAAGATTCCGTACTTATCACTTAATGCTTCCATTCCCAGGCTGTTAATTTCAGCGCAACTCCCTACCTGGATTTTCGATGCAGCCAGCTTCTGCTGTGCACTGTTTAAAGCTCACTGATATATCACACAAATTGAAGGTCCGCGCATTTGGTGCACGCTATGGTCTTTCCCGTCTGCCCCGAGTCTTGTTATTTTTTTTTTCTTTTTCATGCATTTGAAATAGTTCGGCATAATTTACTATTTTTTCCGCTCACTGTACGCATGGTCTACAACCCAAGTAAGTATTCCCCGTCCCAATATTAGATAACAGTTTTATTTATAATTATTAATATTGCTTTAGATTTGCGCAACCAAAATTACTTGTGAAAAAGCAACGATTAATATGATGTTAATTGTATAAAAAATTCTTATGGTCAAAGAAATTCCACAATAAAGAAAGATTCGAAATACAATAATTCGATTTCAAAATTCCATATCTATTGCTCAATCGCCGTTATTGGATATATTTCTGACTCTAAATTTAATATATTACAATTCAATGGCAAAAACTAAACTAACCGGAGACTTTCATCATTACTGTGAAATAAGATCCCTCAAATATTTGATAAATAAAAACTAAACGAAATAAAAATTTTCTATTTTCTTGCTACGGTGGATTACAACAAATTTATTTACGTTTTGTGGTGTGGCTGTAATCTCACAACTTTGAAAATACTAGCCAGAAATATATATGAAAAATACTAACATTTGTAATTTTGTCAGTATCAGTATTAAATTTTTGATGTGATTACCTATATTATTGAAATATATAAAAATGCTTTCCATATTGAGATATTTTTATATAAATTGCTTTAATAAATAAATTGCTTTAATTAAACAAAAAAATTCTCACAGTATTTAATAATAGCACCATTGTGCACAGAGTTTGCAGCACTCATTCATTTAGTCCGTCGAAAAGTGCTGCCCATCAAAATTACAATCGGTTAACAAGAGCGCGCAAAACGCTTATGTTCAAATTCAAACCTGTTTTTTCCATATACTAAAATAAAATACGAATATTAATATTTACTTAATAGCAGTTATTATCATTGAAATGTCAACAATTTATTTTGATGCAGTATTGGCATTAACTTAAATAGCGTTTGTGTATTTATTAGAATTATAATTATATACAACAATTAAATACTAGTTCGTTTTTTTCTGCGTTCGCCTTTTTCTTCTGTTCGTCTTTATGTTAATGTCTATAACTAATGGATGGAATGCTTAAAGTTTTCTACATAAAACAACGTGGGGCGCTCGTCGGCTAACATAATCTCGTCTTTAAAAGTAATTTTGATGTAAACTTAAGAATACGTTGGGAATGTGATGGGTAGGGGCGTGGCTGCGACTGCGACTGCAGTACGGTCATTACATGGCCGTCTCTAGGGGTTGGCTGTGACTGCGTCCGTTGGTATGCAGAGGCGCCAGGCCGCCGTCGCCGGCCTCATCGAAGTCCGTCTCGAGCAGTGCCTCCGACTTGGAGCGATGATAGGGATTGGCAGTGGCCAGCGGCGTGGGCGATGTGGGCGACGTGGGCGACGCCTCCTGCGAGGCCGTCTGGTAAACAGTCTTTGGACGTGTCGCCTGCGCAATGGGCACCGCCGGCGGCTTGGTCAGCGGCTTGGCCAGGGGTGCGGGCGTCCGATAATGCGACGTGGGCGCCTTGCTGCTTCGCACGGCCGTATAGTAGGAGTCCGGGCGCCTCATGTCAGCGGGCGACGGCTGCTGCTGCGGCACGGCCGGCGCCGGCCGATAGAGCGACGACTCCGTGGAGAAGTTGAATTGATCCAGCTTCTGGTCAAACGGCAGCGAGTCGCCGCTGCTACGTTGCGGCATGAAGCTGCTGTGCGAGCTGCGCTGATACTCCGGCAGGTTCTGCTTCAGCTCGCTGAGGAAGGCCAGGCCTGGCTGGCCACGCCTACCGCCCACGCTGCTGCTGCCACCCGTATCCGTGCGCAGCGGCAACGTGCTGGCATTGCCATAGTAATCAGAGCCCACCTCCTCGGCGTCCGTCTGATGAATGATGGGCGTGTCCTCCGCCACACTGGTGCTGATGGAATTGGCGCGGGTGCCGCCGCCATAGGTCGAGTTGTCGCGGAAGCCCTCATTGCGGTAGCTCAGCTCGAAGGCATCCGGCTGCAGGGCAGCCGCAGCGGCCGCCGCCCGCGCCCTATGCGAGCTGCCCTTCGATATGGTGGCCACCTTGTGCGGCTGCTCCTGGCCAGCTGAGCCAGTCCGCAGCGCGTTCTGGTTGACGTACTCGTTGTAGTGGGGCTTCTGCTCGTAGCCCTCGTAGCTGCCCGCCTCCGAGCTGAGCACGCTCTTGTCCATGGAGTCGATGGAGCCATTGGCCACCATCTGCTTGTAGTCCTGGCTCTTGGACAGCGTGCCATTGCTGGACATGTTCTGTGGAGGGCGAAAAAGCGAAGCAAAACGAAAAGCAAAAAAAAAAAAAGAAAAGAAAAGAAAACTCAAATGAAGATCGAACTTAAGGCAATTAAAATGACAAGCGAAATCATACATAATTGGGACGGCGACGCAGCGAGCCCTGCGGATCGATGCTGTTCAGGCTGCGCAGGCTCTGGCGGATGCTGTTGCGTCGCTGCAGGCGCTGCACGTGACGGTGCTTGGATTTGGCGAACCAGCAGAAGGCCACCAGAATCAGCAGAATGATGGCCAGCACAAAGGCCGAGATAATACTTATGGCAAAAATGTCCGCGCGCCACGACAAGGGATCAATGATGACCTAAGAAGGGAGAGGCACGTGTAATTACATAGATACTACAATTGTACCTTTGCTCATTTACCCTCGGATCCATTTCGCAGATGAAGCCGCGCTCCTTGCTGCAGTCCTCCACTTCGATCTCGCCAAAGACGAAGCTCGTGCAGCGCTCGATGTGATTGTAGTCCTGAATCCAGACCTTCTCCGGGTACTTGAGATGCCGCATCTGGCTCTGCAGGTATCGCCACAACGTGATCTTGTCGGTGCGCAGGAAGGGCATCGTTGAGTTCTCCGAGCGACAGAAGTCGCGCGCCTCATGGAACGTCATCGGCGCACCAACATAGATGAAGCAGGTGTCGTGCACCAAGGCCCAGCCTGGCGGGCACTTGCCATCCAAGATAGTCTCGTTGTTCATTTGGAAGGGCACGGCCAGCACCTCCAGCAGCATGGGATCATCTAATAAGCGAAAATTTGAACTCTGTCGACTACCTTGTGGTCAATGCTAGTTATTACCATATTTATCCCTAATGCGCGACTGCACCGAGATGGTGTTGTTGTAGCTCCAGTAATTGTGGCGTGCATCAATCTTGGAGCTCCATGTCTCGAAGGTCCTTAAATGAGAAATTAGTTTAGTCTGGGATTCTAATGGGGACCCTGAGTGAGTTGCTTACCTGTTTTCGTAATCAAAGCTCATACTACGTGTGGAAGTGAAAAGGAAGAGAGGGAGAGAGAAGGTAGCATAAGAGATAGAAATTGCATATAAATAGGGATACAGCTGTACTGATTTATATCTTGGTAAAAACTGCTTGTTCTATTAATTTAGGTTAGAATATCTCCTTTCGCAAAAGCCCCTAGTGAAAGTTAATAGTCCTAGTTCGTAATCCTATTTCAACTACTAGAGCTGGAGTTACTTTGTGCAGATCTATTAATATATTTATATATATATTCAGTAATACTCAAGTCTAAATCGATCGTTCAGTATTCATTCAGTAGATGTTTAGATATTGCTCATCGAATGGATAACCAGAAAACCTTTCAAACTTCAGCTAATCCCTTCAATTTGATCTACTTTATACTTACATCGAGTTATTGACAGTCAGCAGCTCGTAATCATTCTCATAGTTCTCGAATATATTGTCCACATATTGCTGGCCCGCAGTGCCGGCCACGATGGTAGCGCGAGACATCCAGTTGGTGGCCACATTCCTAGGCAGAACTCAGATGTTTATTATCATTTCAATTAAAGCCAAGCTAATTAGCCAACCTGTAGAAGCCATTGTGGGCCGTCGTCTGATAGATTTGTAGTCGCACTTTTTCGAAGCCGGACACCTCCATGATGCGACCACCCACATTGCTGTGGACGTAGTTGTAGCTGAAGTTGGAGACGACCTGGCAGAGTCGAATGACCTCCTCGTAGCCAGCCATGTTCTGGGCGAAGTAGTTGCGATAGAGCTCGACTTCCTGGTAGGGCGACGACTGGCGACCTTCCACATACAAGGCAGGACGATTGCGATTCCGCATGAAGAGATTGTGGTGCACAAAGCCACGCAGCGAGGTGGCGGTGCCGCGCGAGTCAGCACGAATGCGCAGACCGCCTTGATTCTCCATCAGCAAGTTGTTCTAAGGGAAGTTTCCGCAGGTAAGTCAATTAGTTCCTTAACGATGCATTTTTGGGGTAGCTTACCATAAAATAGAGCGAGTTCATGTTCTGCACGTCCAGATTGAGCGCTGAGGCGCAGGTGGAGAAATTGCCATAGAGCTGCTTGCAATTCCTCTCAATGCGATTTCCTATCAGAGTGAGAGTTGGGGTCACTTCACCAGCTGAGGCATACGTGACGGCGCCCTTCATCGCTCCCGAAATGTGAGAGTCTGTTATGTTGTGCAGGGCATCGCGATCTTAGAGAGAAAGAGAGAGAGAGACACAGGGATTAGAGAGTATTATCGAGAGAAAAATCAGGTGGACTTACATTGCCCCAGCGTGGAGATGGGCACCGTGACAATCTCGGCCAGGAAGCCATGGGTCTCTGGAGCGCCACTGGCGACCAGCTGAAGACTCAGCGTGGGACCCTTTGTCTTGAAGAAGTAGCGCTGATTATCCGTATCCGATTCGATCTTGCCCAGATATGTAGCCGTGACATTATAGATATCGCCATCGTACAGCTTGATGAAGTCGGTGCGCCCGTAGAGCTTGGAGTGATTGAACAGGTTCGATTGCAGCAGCCGGAAGCCAATGGGCTTGGCCCGGAAGGCGGAGGTAAAGATCTTGACACAATTGACGGGATTATTGTCGTATTTATAGTAGACCAGCATGCGCTCCTCGATGGTCAGCACCTTCTGGGGATCACAAATATCCACCAACGAGAAGAGCTTGTAGGGCAGGTCCAGTTTCTTGAGCGGCGTGAAGCTGGACTCGTCGCTGTCGCGACCCTCGCCGCTGAGCGAGACAATGCTAATGCCCGTGCCGAGCGTCTTGTTGATGTTCAGATGATTCAGATTGAGCTTGCCGCTGGGCGCTATCAGATTGATGCCATGGTTCGCCGAGTTCTCAATGCTGACGGAGGTGATGCTGGGATTCTTGTGGATGGCCTGAATGGCAGCCGCCTTGTGGTTGTGCAGAATGCCCGCCTGTTCGATGCGCACAAACTCCAGCTGGCTCTCGCGCTGCAGCTGGTGGCCGTGCGAGCGGGTGTTGTGCAGACGGTGCTCGTATTGGATCTCCT